CCTTTTATGAAGGATACTTTTCAAGAGATACAAATGAGCACATATTTATTTCATTTACAGAAACTTTTTTAAAGAACTATACATCTATTTGGTATTATATGGTCAAAACATGTCCAAGAATTTTGTAATAATCCTGGACTTATATCTACTTTATCATTAAAAAAAGGGACCCTCTTTTAGAAAAGTTGTTCCAAATATTACATAACTGTACAATTTGTCATGTTTGTTGCTTATAGTTATACAATCATAAATAATTGTTAATTGTAAATGCCCCCTGTGGGACCCTGATTGGAATAATAAACTATTTGATTTGATTCGATTTTATAACGAGTTTTGCCCCTTTTAAGTTAAAAAATCTTAGTTTTTCTTTTTTTCTTTTCTTCAACAATAAGGCGACCTCTTGTCACTCATTTAAGGAATATCCCTCATTAGGGGATTGTTCCCAAACTGTTTACCTTCGCGATCTCTCACGTGTCTTTTCCGTTGTTTTGATACTTTTTTTCAATTTTAACAAATTCAATACAACTATCCGTTTTAGATGACTTATTTTGTCTAAAGTTTTCCTTATCACCATCGTCATCTGCCTTTCTCTTTCCCCGAATAATAATAGAATACATTGAAATTTGACGATCCGCCATTTTTGTCAATGATAACAAATCAGCGAGGCGCGATTAGTATTCAAATTTTTCACGGTGCGGAACCGAAAAAAATCCGGAATTTGAAAAAAAAGCCGACCACCTCCTAAAATGGAAAGGTGGTCGGCTTTCAAAAGAAGGTGGTCGGCACACCCGGCTTAAATGCCGAATGGAAAACACTGCAGGGTTTTCGATATCATAAACTAGTTAAAACATTTACTAAATTTTATCATCGGTATAAGGACATCATTCGTAAATATAACTCAACATGCAGATATCTTATACGTTCGGGTATTTCACATCCAATATTTTATGGTAATATTCTTTACAAAGCACAAAAATGTCAGTATTCACATCAAAAGCTAACAAAACCTTTAAACAGACTTATTAAGAAGGGATATAGTTACGATACTGTTGTCAGGTCATTAAAGATTGCATATTTTGGCTTTAATATTAATTCACTTATAGGGTCTTTGCATCGGAATTAAACACATTTATTCTAAAACCAGTTGTTGGCATGACACGGGTTATGTTCTTCTCATATATTTTATGACGGTATAATACTAAACCCCTAACAGGAGGGATTGTGCCTGATATTCATATGATGAAAACATAATCTTGTAATCAGTTTAATTGAGGTCTGGAGCTGGCATGTCAGTTAACTGCTAGTAGTCTGTTGTTATTTATGTATTATTGTCATTTTGTTTATTTTCTTTTGTTTCCTATTCTGACATCGGACTCGGACTTCTCTTATACTGAGTTTTATTGTACGTACTGTTGTGCTTTTGTTTTTTCTACATTGGCTAGAGGTATAGGGGGAGGGTTGAGATCTCAAAAAACATGTTTAACCCCGCCGCATTTTTGCGCCTGTCCCAAGTCAGGAGCCTCTGGCCTTTGTTAGTCTTGTATCATTTTTAATTTAAGTTTCCTGTGTACAATTTGGAGTTTAGTATGACGTCCATTATCACTGAACTAGTATACGTATTTGTTTAGGGGCCAGCTGAAGGACGCCTTCGGGTGCAGGAGTTTCTCGCTGCATTGAAGACCCATTGGTGGACTTCGGCTGTTGTCTGCTCTATGGTCGGGTTGTTGTCTCTTTGACACATTCCCCATTTCCATTCTCAATTTTATTAATAGAAAATTAAAGGAAAACTTTTTGAACAAACTTATGGACTCGAATACACTTTTGTAAAACATTTGATTCATTCTATCTAGATAAATTTACACATATTTAATTTTGCCAATACCATGTGCAACGACAAGTGTTCGAATATGATCACTCTATAAAGATAAAGAACACACGATGACTCATAGAATGAATTGAAATTCCAGTTTACATATGACAGTTGTTTGTTTAAAAAACACTTTAGGTTAAGTAAGATTTTGTATCATGTGATGATTTTCTTGAAGTGATGATATTAGCAACAAAAAAAAACTCCATTACCTGTGAATAAGGAGAGGTCATCTAAATTTGAATTCGAAATTACCGGTTTTATTATTACTGTTGTGCTTTTACAATGAAATGTCTTCATGATCCACTTCATGAATACATTGAAATGATATGATTTGGCTTTATTATTGTAAACATCCATTCGAAATTATCAGTTTATATATGGTACTAGGTTTACTAGTATTTAAGTTCTACAAAATTTTATTTTCCAGAAAAAATAAATAAACGTAACACACCAGGTTTAATCCACCATTTTCCACATAAGAAAATGCCTGTACCAAGTCAGGAATATCACAGTTGTTATCCATTCGTTTGATATGTTTGCTATTTTAATTTTGACATTCCCTATTGACTTTCCGTTGAGAATTTTCCTCGGAGTTCGGTATTGTTGTTTTTTTACTTTTTAAAATGAATTTTTAAAAGTTCGAGACTGAATTATTAATCAATTGGTTCATTTCAACTACATAGTAGATCTGGTCTTTTGGTAAGGTGATTTTGTAAATTGATTTTTGTTTTTGTAGCCTCTAGTGGCAATTATGAATCATTCAGTTCGTCTTAAAATCACATGTGGCATTTGTCTCATTAGTCAATATAGTTAGGTTTATGGTCGACAATGATGATGGGTTAGACATTTAGCTGACACTTAAAAAGAGGTTTGTGGACCTGTTTGGAAACACTGAAAATGTGTCCTGCAACTAGTCACGTATATATGCTCAGATTTTATGTGCATTAATATTTAGTTGTTTTTTTTTTACATGCAACATTCACGACCTTAATATTCGTTTAACAATGCTCCATTTTTTTGAAGTTATAAATTGGTATTATTTTTAGCTTTTCCGATGTGAACGCACTTTTGCACCATTGACAAATATAACAGCTAAAAAGGTATGGGTTTTACTAATTGTTGCAAGCCCTACAGTGACCTTTAGTTGTAAACCGCTATGTCATTTGGTATCTGGTGGAGAGTTGACACCTTCTTTATTTTCATATTTAACAGATTTAAAAATAATTTGATTTGTTAATTTATTCATGACTCCTTTTCAATTGATTGTTGCTTGCGGAACGTCCAGTTGCAAATATCAAGCAAATTCATTTCGCTGTTAAAATGTTCGATAATTGGAAAAATATGTTTTGACCTAAAAAATTAGGTAATTTATTAAACTAAAATCGATAACATTTGGAACAGATTGACGATAGATACACGGGGTTGCCTTTCTGCTTTTATAATTTACCTAACAAGGAGGTGGACACTTTAAAGTTTAAAAAAGTCTAAATACCTGTTTGATTGTGTTTAACGGGGGCGTTGCTAATTAGTTTGACGGAGCTTAATCATATCTTTTATTTACTTAAATGACCCAAAGGGAAACCATTTGACTGGTATACAAATAATTTGAAAAGGATTGAATTACATTGAATAACGTTTTCAATTTTTGTCAATCTTATTAAATATTCAGTAATCTTTTTTAAATAGAGTTAATGCCAATTTTGCCGATTAATTTAAATTCTGGTTACCATTGCCACTCTTGTTAATTCAGATGCAGAACTATTCCATGTATTCAGAGAACTATTCACAATTCGCTTGCTGTGAAAAAGATCGGTATAGTCTTTTTTCAGACCGTTATGTAGTTCATATACCTTTAATTATGAACATCAATTAGGAATTTGTGAAAAGTTACTTAACAGCACTGAATTTACTACAAGCAAAATATCCGAACAGTGCTGTGTCTGTCACAATGGATAAGTCTAAAAATTGGCGGAAAGACTGAACATGGCTGCATAATCTATTTAGACTTTTCAAATGATGTTGATATCAAAATGACGGTTAAAGACTTAACTTGATTTACTTGATATGGTACCATTATGGACTTTATAAATAAAAAAAGTAGCAATGGAAATATATGTGCACAAAACCACTATACCAACGCATGTAAGAAGGACTGGGCAAGGTACGATTTGGTCCTAATTGGGACTTTTATCAATACAAATTTAATGTAATATTGAATTTACATGAATGTAGTTAAATTCAATGTTTGCTTTTTTTGTTATAGATATGTGCCAGTCATTGGGAGTACAACCATGAACAAACAGTAAATTCAAAATTATTGCAGATTGCACAAAATTTTGACAATTTGTCTCACATATCCTTTTAAAAATATAAAGAGCACATGTCCGTGCCCAAAATTTTATTTACACACAAATTATACTTCGTGTTTATCTACTATCTGAAAAAAGTCGTTTTGGACGACACTTATTCTCTGCATGCTAAGACTCAGTTGTCGTATGTTACTAGTTAGGATTATCTGACATTGTATGCAATAACGGACGAGTTGCGTTAATACGGTATTCTGCTATTCTCTGTAAACGGATACTTTATTTAATTTTAAAAAACCTACACACTACTAAGACCCGGAAATGACGATTTTTTATTTACAGGTCAGATTCATATAATACGGTAGCTGGTCATCGAACTTATAAAATTTCACAATAAATTCGCTACACCTATAGTTCAATTGACTTTGTTGATAATTGAGAAGTCGCCTCAATGATGATAAACATAATTTATTTTCAATTATGATACACATAATTTATATTAAACCTTTATTTGTTGCAATCGTAGCTCCCGTTTAACAATTGTTCTTCAATTTGTTTGCTTATGTTTGGCTTAAATTTGGTAAATAGCCGTTATGGTGTCATTTTCTAAGTCAGATTGCGTCCACAAATTCATATCTATATTGCTAAATTTAGCAGGTTATAAGGAGCCAATAATTATATCTTCCAATTATTTTTTTCCGGTCAATTTACATTATCAAATTATCACCAAAATAATACCTTCTTCTGTATGTTTATATTCAGAAAAATACAAATATTTGAGAAAGCAACACAATGCATGTATCGTTACAATCGTCATACTGTACCTCTTTATGTGTTTTATACTTGTCAATATGAGTGCACACTACAATGACTGGTGGATATAATCTATGTTTTGAATACCCCTTTGGTATATTTGGCTTCTCTTCTGAAGAACTTGTACTCAAACAGTGAATACTGTCAAACCAAAAGTCAATGTATTCTAAAAAGAAATTAACAAATAGCTTAACTTTGTATTTGTCATTTTCAATAGATTCTAAACATTACAATATCTTTTCTATGGTAGATTAAGTTCTAAATCTGATCTAGGGTAGAACATTTCAGTGGTTGTCGTTTGTTGCTGTGTTACAATCTTGTTTTTCGTTCATATTTTGTACATAAATTAGGCTGTTAGTTTTCTCGTTTGAATTGTTTTACATTTGTAATTTCGGGGCCTTTTATAGCTTACTATGCGGTATGGGCTTTGCTCGTTGTTGAAGGCCGTACGGGGACCTATAGTTGTTAATATCTCTAGCATTTGGTCTCTTGTGAAAAGTTGTCTCATTGGCATTCATACCACATCTTTTTTTTTATATTTCCTAATGATCCTGATTTCGAACTTTCGCCAGTATTTGGTGTATGCTTTATAGTTTTATTTTCTCTTCAATGTTTGAAAGTAGCTTTTAATCAAATATATAGTTATTTGTATATTATAGTGAAGACAGGAAATATACTTGTACGGTTTACCTTATCATCCGGTATGCTCGAAAACACTATTAACACATCTTTGGAAAGACTGTTATACATTTCGAGGATCCTTTATAACGGTCATAAATGCTGGGTGTTTATTATAATAAATAAATATATAGTGGAATTTTATGCGACTGTCATACAAGTGAGAGGCTTAGCTAGCTATACAACCAGGTTCAATCCACCATTTTCTACATAAGAAAATTCCTGTACCAAGTCGGGAATATGACAGTTGTTATCCATACGTTTGATGTGTATGAGCTTTTGATTTTGCCATTTGATTACGGACTTTCCGTTTTGAATTTTCCTCGGAGTTCAGTATTTTTGTGATTTTACTTTTTGTATATGGATTACACAGTGATACATATTATTTTTGCGGTGAGTGTTTTTTTCCCATGTCTACTTAGCATTATACAATCACTTGTAATAATAAATATGTGGTTTAGTTTTGTTATGTTAGTGTGACACACGCTATTTAACCGACAGTTTAAACTACAAAATAACAAAAATAGAAAAAAAAAAATAACAATAATATATAACCAATCACGAAAAGAAACAGCGTATTCCCAAAAATCAAAATTAGTAAGTAGATAAAGAAAATATTGAGAGAAATTAGTAAAATAAAAATTATATGAATAAATTAATAAATACAACAAAAAAAAATAAAGAAAATTAATAAATAGTCAATACTTGAAAAATCAATGAAATATCAAACACATTATTGAATAAATATAATAAATATTTATTTTAATACAATTAATAGGACTACTCATGCAAACACAATGAATAAGATACATTAGTCATGGCCTCGTATGTCACATTACCGACTTTGATAAACATGTTATTAATAAAAGGGTTCGTGTTGCTTTTGCTTTACTTTTAAGTGTTGATCTTCGTGCTTTTGTTTCCGTTTAGTTATATTCTTGGCTATCCTTGAACGAGTTTTAATTTCAAAATCTGATTTTCAGTCAAGTTTAAGGGTTAGAAAATTTACATTTCTTATGGTTTACACAATATATAATGTCTAATGGTTAGATAACAATCAATCGCCACCACCTGATATAAAATATAAACGTAATTTATAGGAATAACACGACAGGTGTCACATGTGGAGTAGAATCTGCTAACCTTTCCGGAGCACCTGTAATCAATCCAGGTTTTTGGTGGGATTCATATTGCTCAGTCTTTAGTTTTGTATGTTGTGTTTTGCATATTGTTTGTCTTTTAGTCGTTTTTTGTTTGCCATGGCGTTGTCAATTTGTCATCGACTTAAAGAGTTTAATATCCATTTTGTATCTTTCCGCCTCTATTCAATTAAATGAATTACATAACTACCTATGTAAAAAGAAAGAGCTGGTAAAAAATCTCTACCCCAAAAAATGACTGTTGTCAATAAAGTCTCCTTTCGACCAACAGTAAAACCCTTAATAAATTAAGGCGTCTTTTTGGCACTGTTGTATTTACAGCAAGTCCGGTCAAAATGGGGACGTTGAATCTGATGCCTCATGTTAAGAGGGTGCAACGCTGATAACCCTTGTAATATGAACATGACTTTAAAACACTATAGAACCTAAGCTTCTCTCGTTTAGAGGATTTACGTCTAAAATCACAATTGTTTATTTCATAGTTATAGTTATATATTAAATTTGATTACTGTATTATAGTTATTATTTTTATTATTCCAGCGATTAACATAAAGGAATAATCAATTCAGTATTGTCCTGCTTTATTCATTTTTAAATGTTAATGAATATTGTTTTCGGTTAGTTCAGGTTTTTTTTTTGTCCGCATGCTTCAAACGAAGTCTTTTATCTATAATATATTTCTTGTGTTTGTATGTGTATTTGAACAGGTTGACATCCTTTTGACTCAACATAGATGCTCAGCCAATTTTTTTAATTAGGATCTTGTTTTGTCCTGTTATTAACGGAGATTGTAACATCTTACCTTCAATTGCATCAAAGTCTGTCTCATCTTCTGTAGCTGCTATGTCTTCAGATATATTTGTAACAAGAATATAAATAGCATGTGGATTTAAAAAAGTTTGATGTGTGGCATAATAGTCTTTCTGGCCTGCAAAATCCCAGAGACCACATTCTACCAAACTCTCAGATGTCATTCTGTCTTGATCCTTCTTAACTTCAGAAAGAATTTCATCCATTTGTTCGAAAATCTTTTTCCTCATATCGTCAATTTTTATTGAATCTGCGGATTTTTTAATATCATTAGTAGAAAGGACAACATTATCTTTCACAAGTTTGTTAATACTTGATTTTTCTGCAACCGGGGTAATAGTGTCCATTATGTTAATTTCGTTTTCATGTTTCAATGAATTGTCCATTGAAACAGTTGGATGATAGTTTTCTTGTTTCCTTTCAACTTTAGACAGCGGTTCCTTAGATGAAATTTCTTCTTTTCTGTTTTTTTCCCCTTCGTATGGAATTACTTGATCAGAAACTAATTCGCTTTGTTTTGGTTCTTTGTATATAGCCTCTTGTATCCTGTTTATTATTTTATTCCTCTCTGTTTCAACTGTAATAAGTTATTTGAAAAAGTAACATGCTTATGGATAATTTCAAATATCTGAACTGGTTTCGATCAGCAGACTGCTTAATTACAAAGATGAGAAGACAATCCTTCTTAAATCGCCTTCTTTGTACTCAACATGCCGACACCAAACAAGACCATAATAAACATGTTGCAAAGTTTCATTAATGAAAGATTTAAGTTAAGATGCACTAGGTTTAATTGATATTTCATATTTGGGACTCTAATGCAAAGATAAATTTAAAGAAACAAGTTGCAATAGCTCTACATTTGTTTAAATAGTCACGTGGAATTGTTTTCACAATAAAAATATTTGACGATAGTACATGTTGGTAGACAAAGTATGTGTGTATAAATAACTTTTAGGTGCTGATTAGTATTTCCAAAAATGATATTCAGTAACCATAATGTATAATTACCTACAAAGTAAAGAAGAGTATTTAGTCTGCCTGAGTAATATTCGGCGGTTAAGCAGTATAATTGATGTTAACTAATTCTCTGCACCAACGTTAATTTCAACTGATCTTGCGAAGTACCCACATAATTTCTTGGTGGGTTTGTGCTTTTTTTGAAAAATAGTAAACATATGAATACAAGTTTTTTGTGTATTCAGAGGTATATTATTTTTTTTTGTTAAAATTGAAAACCGATATTTTTGAAGAAAAAAAAAACTAGCTTACTCATAAACAAATTTCCTTATTAGGATTGCAACACTTGATATCCATGTATAAGAAATTTCAAAGCTATACCTGACCAGAAGCAATTATTGATGATTTGTGAATGGTAAATTTAAAGAAAAACAAAATTTTAGAAAAACATAGTTTTCTAAAAAAAAAAAAAAAAAAAAAAAAAACCTAAATAAACTTGTGTTATGCCCATCTTAAATAGCTCATTTAAAAAGAAAAAGAAAAAAATGAGTATAGATCTCAAGCGGACTTGAATAGACGGGTAGAAATGCGGAGATAATATTGGCAAGTTTTATATACATGTATTGCGCTCCTGTAATTTCTTTGGCCATGCATAACGAGCATAAAGCCTCGAAGACTTATCAACAGATGGTTATAGTTTGAATCACTCTTTAGTTATTGGAACAACACACAATTCGTGATATAGTTTGCGTCTAGAGCATAAATCATACGTTTATTTATAAGCTTTAACAGCGATTCCGATGTTGTGCTAAAATCTGAGACATTTTAAACGAAAAAAAAACAGGAGTCATAGAAGTATGAGTAAAAAGGAAAGTCTTATAAAAAGTTTCTGCAACTATAAACAAAATCATTTATAATTTTATGTTTTTTTTTTCCTTTGAATCATGCTTGTCGTAGAGTCCTGCTAAATATCTAGTGACAAGCATGGGGGTTTTTATTTGACGTTTTGTTAGAGGAAGGCTGTGTACACAAGCATTCCTGAGGTTTTTATTTTCTTATTCGTTCTGTGTATTTTAAAATTTTGCCTGATTACTATGTATTGCTAAACAATGATGTATGGCCAATTTCAAATCAAGGAACATTATAATTATTGAAATTAACAGTATCACATATCCATGTACCTAGGAAATCTCCCATCGCTTATTTATGATTTATAATGCATTCTCTAATTATCCAGGGCATGGAGCGAAAAAAGATCGAGGCAAACGAATATCTCAAAACACCCTTTTATTTGAAAACCTTTTAGTCTGTTTTCCAATGCAAAATTATTTTTGTATGATATTTTTGCTTCCAACATCACTGAAGATACATGAGATGAAATCTATATCAATGAAAATGGTATGGTTTACTGTAATCTTTAAACAAACAAGTGAATGTATGCTGCAAAAGAACAGTAATGTTTAAGGCGTCATTTAATAAGGATGTATCATTGCAAGTTGATTATTTGTCCATCTTATTGCAAACGTTTTTATTGATTTTTATATTTTATACCAGTAGTGACTGTGATAGCTTAAGTTCATTGTTAAATATTACAAGCTTATCAGAGAAATTCAATTTTCACAGTAAATTGATTTACTAATTTATACGTAAAAGCGTAATGAAAGACTGTACACAAAATTAATATAAAGTATTTCAACAATTTTACAAATATATACTTATACAATAAACATAAAACTAAATGTAAACTTCATTATTATCGGGTAGGTGAAATGTCGTTAAAACATATTCAAAATATAATCTGCTTTGATTTAAATTATTTAAAAAACTTTATATTGAGCACTTTTATCTTATTTGTTTATTTTGTCTGTGACAATAACTAAAAAAAATCTATTAGATATAAAAACAAAACACGGTCTACCCTAATTCTTTCAAATTATCGGGCTTATTATTCGTTTTAGCTATGCATTCAAAATCTTAAAAAAAAAACAAATCCATCTATCAGAATAAAAACAAATGGAAATTAAGCAAGAGAAGAAATGCTTTCCCAATAAAATGATGTCTGGTACTTTTCTTTCCATTTCCGCGATTTTACGCCACATATATCACACGGATTTATAAAACGCTACAGATATCATATAATTCATAGTTAAGCAAATTATTACAAAAGATTGAACAGAATTGATAGCATTTATTTGTTTTTGTCAATCTATTTTCAATTATCTTAAATATGTTTGCGCTCCACAGAGAGCGATATAGTTAATTATAGCATTACAACATCACAGCTTAAGGCCTCGTCTGAACATTTGAAGGTCTCTACTATGTATTGGTTTCCGTACAAAAAAACCCAGTAAAATATAGTTTCAACCCTGGCTTCTAGAAAGTGTTTTATAACTTATTTTTCAGTGCTTTTAACTACATGTAGTTCCTTAACTACTACAAAAGAACCTAGCATTTAATTTGTAATAAAACATATGAAAATAGTGGAATTACAAATGTAACTAATTTTGGATTGTAAAAAAATCTGGGTGATTTAGATAAATTACGTGCTTTCGATGGTTCTTTAGTTTTTTTTTACAGTTTTGAGTTTTCAACTTTTTACACACTCCCATCAAACAAAAGTTTTCATATTTGATTAAATGGTCTTTGGATAAATCTGATTGCAAAATATATTTGCTGCGACACATTTAAAGCCTTCTCCAATTAGAAAATAAGTAATCTATATATACTTACTGGGGATGTGATGAGATGATTGATGCTTTTTATTTTCACCTTAATTACATGTATGTACGTTTTTTGCAATGTATGTTAACGACAGATTGTGGGTATTCCAATGGACACTGATTGTTCAATTTTAATAGTAGACTTGTTTTTGTACTGTTATGAATCACAGTTTATGAACAAACTCATTAAAAATCCGTCTTAATTGCATTTAACTGATAAATTCAACAACACTTACCGTTATCTAAAATATTGATTTTGTTATCAGCAAATTGAAATCAAAGTAAATATTATCTTAATAATGTACATTCATTGCTCTACTATCCGTCGAAACCTGAATCTTGGCATTGCAAAATGTCATGTTTTTATCTATTTGTTATTTCATGGCTCTACAATCTGTCGATACCTGTAACTAGCATTGCACCAGGTCATGTTTTTCTGTGACTGTTAATGACGTCTTTACACTAAATTCATTGGATGGCGGATGTGTACTGATTGATATGTAAGTCTTGGATACATGATTTTTTATTTATTGTTATTGGCTTTGACCTAGCTGTCAGTAACTGAGAGTACACTCAGATCTGAGCATAAGGTTTTTTGTTGTTGTTTTTGTGGGATGTATAAATACTGCCACGTCCGGTCTGTTTTTGTTAGATGATTTTTCTGCTTTGTAATGATCTGATGAGTTCAGCTGATTTTTATAGCGTGATCTTATATTGTATTGTTACAAAACTGTCCCAGGGTATGGAGAGGTTTTGCCACCAATAAACTAGTTGAACCCCGCCACATTCTGTATGTACCTGTCTCAAGTCAGGAGCCTGTAAATCAGAAGTTGGTGTTAGTTGTTGTATATCATATAATGTTTTTCGTTTAGGTCGTTAATTCTCGTTTGAATTGTTTTACATTGGTCATTTCGGGGCCTTGCTAAATGTATATGTGAGTATCATTTTAAATACAGCCTGATATATAAAAACATAATTATTTACATAACATATATGCAAGTTAGAAACGTGACCAACCCCTCAAGAGTATCAAATTCCCCAAAAGTAGTCCATATGACTTCACTGACGTCCAAACGTGTCCACCGTCATGAACATGTGATTCGCTCTTGCATACAACTTTTTTTTTACAGACAGTATGGTCTGGCACAGTTTTTGCACTTTTCAAAGTAAAACTTTAATGTAGTTATAGTCTCAACAGGCATATTTTGAACCACTTTTTATCCAAAGAAGACAATAAAGGTGGTATATGAAATGAATAAGGTGCACTTATCATTGATAAGTGCTTTTATTACAGATATAGTGAAATATTATGTACATTCACGTGCATCAAACTAGTCGTGTTCGACGAGGACCATAAATACAACGCATTTTGCACATTTTTGCTGTGATAATTTACTTTTTTCTAGATTCTGAGTCCAAAATAATTAATGAAACTTGAATTAAGCTTAGAAACAAAAACATATAAAAACATAAAAACCTGTCAGATAGAAAGTCAACATGCCTCTTAGACATAAAAATGGAAACTGCCTTAAAATGCTTAGTTTAGCCGTATAATGGCAAAATGGGAAACTTTTACAGAAATTCTATCAAATAAAGAAGTGAATACTTTACTGTTATTAAGTTTGACAAATCGAAACAAGCAATTCATTCCGGGAAGTTGCTCAAGTACATAATCTACATTTACTGAATTCATCTTTTAGGCCCGAGAACATAGTTATTTCGTAATGCATTAAAAAATGCACCTGATTTATCTCAAAAAGATTTTTACAGTGACGTGTACTGCTTTTGGGACACATAATATCAAAATTATAGAAAAGTCTACCAGCGCTAACTCAAAATATGGACAATTCTATGTTAATGGGGTCTATAATTCAGTTTCAGACATACTAATGTTTTACCTTTTTTAACTGGACCAAATCACAACTTAACATAAACATTCATCACCCTAATTTTTTTAACATGTAATGTAATCCCCCTACCTAATATTTCATGCATAAAATAAAAATAAATAAATTTGGAAAGTGTATGAAAACAATTTGCAAGTTATACACTGTCCAAATTGGGGACTATATTTATAGACAACGAAAATCAAAAGACGATAACTGTGTCCTCGGTCCAATTGGTGCAAATTGTAGGCTTTCATAATTTTTTGCTATTTTTAAATAATTTAATATTGGATGAAACAAGTGTTCTGATAGGCTGTAATTGTTTGTCCTTTAGCTCATAGACATCATTTTGTCATGTAACAATGTTTTTTTTTCATGATTTACTCCTTAAAAATGGAATTAGAATGAATTTATGTGTATGGACTCCAGAAACAACCCAATGGTTTCAATTGAGTCCCTTACGACAGCCGTTATTGACGTCACTTGTAGAATAACAGCTCTACAAGATTTGAGACAGTTTAACGTCTTATAGTGTATACGTTTCGGTGGATATAAACTGTTGGACACTTTGAGCGGAGAAAATGAACAGACACTTTTAAGGGAAGTGGATTTGACACTTGGGCGATTTGAGATTTAAGGACACGTTTGACTGAAATGGACAGGTTTCGGCATTGCAGACACGTTTTGTGTACAGAAAACGTTTACGAGTGCTAAATACATATTTGATAATAGATCTGTTTCATAAACCCCCTGATGTTACTATCCGATCCGCATACTACTCTACACTAATTACTGCATTCGGTTTGTTTCGTAACCGGATCTTCAAGCTGTTTGACCCGTACTGTTGCTACTGAAGCAAATATGGCTGATCATTGATGAATGAGGCGTTATTCTTAGTATCGTACTGTCATACTGAATCCGATTGAACACGACTCGTCCAAAAAAAAATCGCTCAATTAAGTATTTGTTAGACCAGTATTACCGTTTCCGACTAAAATCCAGCTGCAAGCGCAAGTGAAATTAAGTTGCCGGTCACTACTCATAATTTCAGCCCTAAAATCTGAATATTTTTAACAATGATAATGTAGTGGAAACTTGATTAAAACATAAGTTAAAATGTCCAATTATTTCAGTTAAAACATAGTTTTCACCAATAGCGGCATTAATGACGTAATTATGACGTCATTATGAAGGGGAATTCCGAAAACGTTTTGGCAGAATTCTGCAGAGTTTATGACAGTTTTCTGAAAAATTGAACAATGGTGCCACCCTTCGCCCACAGATATCGTTGCTGAAATATTCTTTATATACCATATTCTTTTCTTTTCAATAAAAATTTTAAAGGGCGAGGGGTGGCGTCACATATAAAATCATGAAAAAACATTTACAAAATTCTAGAAAAATGAACGAAAATAAAATCTGTCCCTATTTCAGGCTAAACTATCTATAAGTATGAAGCAGACATACAGTTCTTGTTTTATACGTTTAACATGTTTGAATATTATACTTTTAGTAATGCATACCCATAAGATTTCATTTGATAAATGAAGTTTAAAAAAAAAGCACCTGTACAGGTCCATTTAGTTGGGTTCCTAGCTCTACGAAAAAATAACGTAATACTGATTATAAGATGTAATAATCAATCTACATGTGAAACATTTTTTAAGTCCTATTTAAGCATTCGAGAAAATCTGCTATAAAAGTCTATCAAAGATCAAATAACACACAAATAAAACAAATTATATAAACATATAATTCATTGTTACAAAATGGGAAATTTCACTATCTAATCTAAAAATTGTCTACATTGAAAATTATGAGCTCTCTTTGTCAGCAAAATAACTAGGCTAAAAAGAACCACTCTCTTCGTATAAATTAAAATGAAGGGTAGATTAGTCGTAGATGCAAACCCTTGTCATGTCATTCGATTTTCAATAGGGAGTAAAAACTGTAACTAACCTTTACCAATAATCCATTCACCATCAGTTGTTCTTATTTGGCATTTTTTAACAATATCGATTCCATCCGTGCTGTTTACTTTCATATTAGAATCTCCAACTAATCTACGTACAAGGCTCGACTTGCCAACTCCATCTTTACCAATAACCTGAATTCTAACGTAACGTCTTATTTCTGTTCCGTCCTTGATTGCAGCTAAATGTTCGTTCCTGTTTGTTACGTCTAAACTTTTCGTAATTTGTATCTGGATTTCTAACAATGATATTAAAAGCGATGTGATTTGAAACTGGACATCAAAAAGTTTTAACATATTTCAGAATGAACTTTCAAAAGGACAAAATGTATTTTCGATGCAATGAAACAAAATTGAATGCATTACAACCGAAATTTAGACTTTTAAGGTTCGTACATGATTTACGTAATCTTCTATTCCATTTTTAACGTATATTAAAGAAACATTAGAAATTCTGCGAGATATCATTCATTATTAACCAACCACCTGTGAACTTATGCATGCATGCGCTATTTCTATCTTTACGAAGATAATATGTGGTCTTGTTCTTATATGATACAAAGTGTGTTAAATTAACTGGTGCCAACATTTTTTAGTTTTTGTTTTTGAATATTTTCCGTTAATTGTGAATCCTGCATATTACCTAACACAGGTAAAAATAAATAACTTTTCCAGATTGCTCAATAAAGATGGAAAACATTCATATTCTCTTGCTATCTCGATGGCAGATGTCAGATGAGGGTTATTCTATATATAGAATTTAGCGAATAGGTTTACCTGTCAAAACAATCTAGTAAACAAGTGATGAAAACCAATATCGACATAATAGAAAGAAGAAAAACGCACACTTTGTCTTAGTTATACTCAAAATTGTTCCAGAAATTTAAAGTGAAATAATAGGGAAAAATATGAACACGTCCACTAAACAAATGGCATGTTATTACATCGTTAAAAACTTTCCGAAAATGAAGAATAATAGTTTTATATAGAAAAATAAATGACAAGATTTTCGCTAGATCATTAAGGACGCATTTTTATCTTATTTAAAAAATTGATTTTAATTGATAAAGCTATGATAAACAATTTTTTGAAAATAATTTTGAAATTAATGAAAGGGTTTTCATACACACATTTTTTGAAGTAGAAACACACTTCGGAAATAAGTAAAAATCTTAGTGTTCATATCGACCGAAAAAGCAGCTAACAATTTGGTTGCATGACGTAAATACTGCATGTAGAAATGAATTAAACAAATTCAACACTCAAATCTGTAAACCTACAGAGTGTCAAATGGATAACAAGCATGCCATAACAAAACCCGATTATTTATCGGCTTTCTCAATTTCTCAACAAAAAAAAATGTCAAATATTGTGCCATCTCGGCTTCTAGTAAGTGTTCTTCACTAAAGATAATTCATTAGTCCATGTTCCATTACACAAAAAATTAACAACTCTTACAACTTACAGTAATAACAAAATACATTTGAAATGGAACTAATCTTGAAATACGGTATTTCACATTTAAATTTTACTGCAACACGATATTAAAATACTTTTCTAAACGTACTCCAAATATATGTATGGCGTCACAGTGGAAACATCTCATGGGCTTGCTCAACAGGACCTTTTTACGATTTATGATCAGGCTGTTGTTCCTGAATTTAATACGGGTGCCACATGTGGAGCAGGATCTGCTTACCCTTCCGGAGCACCTGAGTACACCCCCAGTTTTTGGTTGGGTTCGTGTTGCTTAGTCTTTAGTTTTCAATGTTGTGTCTTCTATACTATTATTTGTCTGTTTGTCTTTTTATTTTTAGCCATGGCGTTGTTAGTTTATTTTCAATCTATGAGTTTGACTGTCCCTTTGGTATCTTTCGTCCCTTTTCTTTAATAGGAGCAATGAGATACTAAAGTATGTTTTGTTTGACTGTATGTTTTGGCTTGATACAACTGTGGATGATAAGAACTATCATATACTTACGAAAAGATACACAAATAACAAGAGATAAAATTGATGTAACAAAAATCGCCACTATGACTTCAGTTCTATACTCTTCTGAAAAAATTGGAAGATCATTAATACATTTCATTTATTGTTGATGTTATTTTCAATTACCTATCAACATGTTTTTTTTATAATTTGTTCAACTTCACAAAAATTATATGCTGTTGAAAAACAAATGCAATATGCTCATACTATAAACAAATAGTATTATTATATTTGTATTAGTCATGTTGAGCTCTTAAACTGTATCCTATACTATCGTTTATCGTACTACTCCATATAGACTAGCCTTCAAAACAATAGATTTGAAAGCAAAATCTACAACTGCAACAATACACACCCTGTTTTGGATGTGTCACGTCTCTTTTACTTGTAAATTAATAAGGATGTTTCAAATCTTGACGTTGGATTTCTTCTAGGTCTATTCTTTTTCGCCATCCCTTTCAACAAAACAGGTTTTTACCCCTTTTAATTTAATTGCCAATTTATATCACGTCTGGCAAAATAAAATAAATTCCAACTTGCAACGTCGTTGTCTCATGCAAATCTAGGATCTAATACAACTCTACCCACGTGTCTAATAATCCCACATCTCCTTGTCATTAAACCCAGCCAAGTTATAAGTTGCAGCACACATAGTAGTATTTCCAATCTATACCATACTGGTTCTATTTGTTTTACTCACCTTTGGTAACTATATAGTTTTATATTATTCGATAGATCATTTTACTTATCCATTTCTTATCAGATATAATGACAACAGTCTGATACACAAGCTATATATTCAAGCCAACGGGATGCTGGTAACAAGGAACCTACTGAACCAACAGTGTATATCATCCCTTCGAACATTTTATGGACGCTATCACGAGTTAGTTGACCGTTATGGAATATCCGTTTCACAGATGACGATGGATATGTTCCAAATGTCGTTACAACAATTCCATCCTCTTTTTCGCCGAAAGTGACTTAATGAAAAAGACTTATAACCGGGTTTGTACCTACACGAGCAGCACTACGATGGGAAATGTGGAGCACGATTTTGCTTTACCTTCCAGAGCACCTGAAATCGCTACGGTTTTTGGTGGAGTTCGTGTTGTTCAGTTTTGGTGTCTTTTGCCCCCTCTATAACAATCTTATCAACCAAATTCATGGATAATGACTAATCTTTAAAATCATCAGATAATCTCATTTTGTTTTAATCCTTTTCTAATACAAATTGACACCATATGGCAAACCCTAGGTTGTTTTTTCATAGGATTTGCACCACGGGACTTCGGTCCTTTTGATTAAATTATTTCCATTAGTTGTTGATTGAAAAATATGGATGAAATCAAATTTGCGGTTAATAAAGTATTTTTCCGTGTAAGATTTAAAACTAACGTATCTTTAAAAACTTCGTTTGGCGTATAATTACAAATACGCTGTTTAATTCTAAAGGAAAATATTTTGATTTAGATTTTGACGTTTTGATACATGGGAAGGATACAATCATCTGTTTTTTTTAAGAATTTGACCGAAAACTGATAAAAGTAAGATAAAAGTTATTTAACATGAAAATAAATTCAACCTGCAAGGTATTTACCTATATGCGAACAAATCATGTCAAATCTCTTTTTTTGTCTTAATTTTTATCTTGAATCTTGCCATTTTACGAATTTGTGTTATCTTATATCGCAATTATACTACGGTAACGCTTCTGATTTTCAAATTAAAAGGCCCAAAAGGTTGACAAGGTTCACTTAAAGAAGGCAAAACAAATGTACAATTTACCTATTTGCGAACAAATTGTTGTTGCGAATTAGGAAGTGGCAGATTTGTGAATTTATTTTTGGGGCTTGTTTAATCCTATTACAATGGCTGACGGCATGTTAAGGCATTACGGCCGCTATTCAAATTAGCAAAGTACTCCAAATTTTGCCTTACGCGAATCAAATTTTGAAAAAAATTGTAATCACAGCTTTGCACATAAGGTTTGAATTTACATATTGAAAACTTCCCTCGGCTTGTGAAACAAAATTACAAAAAGGTAATAACTTGATACATTTACCACAAACATCTGAAAATACCAATTTAAAATTTGTTTATACATGAGCTGCATTGGATAGAAATCGACCTTATGCAAATGCACGTATACATATATACGTATAAGACTTTGATTGATTTTGGAAATACAAAATGTAGGATGAATTTCTGTCTGTTTTGTAAGGTTCTTATATCAACTCAATTGTCTTAGATTGTGGTTTAACATCTATGCTGTCTGTCTGCTAAGTACCGAACGTTACCTATTTCCGAATATGACTGTTATACTGAATGTGATTGCATTGCTATACGACGTGTCTCGGTATTTTATACATCCAACATTCAAGTATTTATTTTTGATGTTTCTGTTATGGTTTCGATTGGATAATGTGTTATGTCTTATCGCTTGAAGTCCAAATAATTATAAAATAGCCTTTCAATACCGTCATTGTTATGATAATTGTTTGGACTAGTATTGTGAAAATAATTGTTTAAAGTTCAAGATTACATATACGTTACAGAAGTACGTCACTGTTTGTGATGTCCTGTGCTGTCCGTCGTTGAAGGAAGATGCCCGTTGTTGTTCTGCGGTTTGCATATTGTGTCAACTATTATATTATTTGTTTGTGTGTTTCTCTGTGATGAGTGTTCTTGCGTGTGTTTGTGCTGTAGTTCTGTCACGCAGTATTGTCATTTTAGCGATATTTTGTAGCATTGCCATATGAGCAGGAGGTTTGGCTAGCCATAAAACCAAGTTCAACCCACTATTTCTTCTTAAAATGTCCTGTACCAAGTCAGGAATATGGTAGTTGTTATCAAATAGTTCGTTTCTATGTGTTTTGGCGTTTGTTTTTTTTTTTTGCACCTCAGTGTTCCTTTGTCTTCCTCTTATAATTGATGTGTTTCTTTCGGTTTTAATTTGTAACCCGGAGTTGTTTTATCACAATCGATTTATGACTTTTGAACAGCGGTATGCTACTGTAGCCTTTACTATTCAAATAGTGACAGACTTTCAATAAAGATTTATTCAACCCGAAAAAGGTTAACAGTTGTGTTAATATTCATTTGCGTAAGATTTAATTCAATCCGACGAAGCTCACAGATTAATGTTTGATAAAATCGTACTGTTGTTATCAACTTGTCCCACACACCATTAAACAATAACAACAACAAAAAATATTTGTGCGCGCAGAGATTTGTATCATCATCGGAATCGATGCTGAAGATTCGTCAGCACAGTAGTCAGTTTGATATTGGATAGGTTTTTGTACGTAAAAAATGTACCTATCAGGAAAAATTACACTTAGCAATTTAACATTCACGATTCGACAATATCTTCAGCTGAACACTGCTTTTTCTTTTTTATTTTTGATTAACAGGTACCTAGAGTTGAAGCCTTTTTTTCTCTTACAATGTACTCAGCATCACTGTCGTTTCCTTTATTGTCATTCCTGAAATATAAAAATAGTAAACCGATATAGCGTTTTTGTGCTGAAGCGGTTTTAAACAACATTATTCAATCATCAACTTATTAATTGGGATATGTAAACGACAATTGATAGGGCAGATAATATGTTATTGCTGAGAAATAATTGGATGTTGACAATTGCAAACTTTCAATTCTAATATGTACAATATATTTCGACACTTGGTTTTGTAAAACGCTTAACAGTATGAACGTATGCATAAGACCTTTGGGAAATGTATAAAATTAAAATGAAATAAAATTTATCGAAATTTCACAAATGATCTTGGTTTTTGTTTGTTGTTTTGGTTCTCTTATAATAGACTAAATAGATTTTCATAACGTTTAGAATAATCATAACAAATGAATTATTAACTAACTATTTTAATGCATATTTTACTTCTGTAAAATGCATTGTTAGGTGTTTTATGAATTTCTTTTAATGAATAAGAGAAAAGCATATTTATACTCCGAGAGGTTAAAGGCATATAAGTATATATACAATGCAAAATTTATAAAATATGAAAACATCATAAACCGGCAGTCAAAAAGTAAGAATATTTATGCAAGTGTGGTGTCCACTCTCCTTAAAAGTAGGTAAAATGAAAATAGTCTATTCTATCTGACAGTTTTAATATTATTTAGAACTGATTTTGACAGTTTTAACCTAGGAGTGATTCGGACAGATCTACTTCTTGGAGAGAAAATGTTTATAACAGTTTTATGACAGGTTTAAAGAGAGGGTATAACCTACCATAACTGTAGGACATTTATAAAATACATCTAAATGTTTATAGTATACGATAACCTAATGTATTTTCGTTATGAATGTTAATTTAGATGTCAAAGTATTTCACTAATAAAACAAATATTTTCATCACTGTACTGCTTAATTCATATTGGATAATTAATTTCAACTTTTGTTAGCAATTGTTCTACAGTTTGTCAAGTTATTGCTTTTTTATAGCTAACTATACAGTACTGACTTTGTTCATTTTTGAAGGCCGTAAGGTCACATTTAGTTGCTTCGGCAATTTATTCCCCCGTAAACAGTCGTTTCGTATTTTATATCATCTTCGCAGTAGTTGCGCGAAAAATATGTGATCAGTTTCATGTTTACCTTTCAGCGATAATTGGTTTACATTGATTTATCGGCATAATCTCCTCTGAATGAATACATTCGTAATCTGAAAACAAATGAGGAAATATACACTTTTTAAAACATACGAGTAGCATTTAAGATCACGCAAATTGTACAAAGTTGTATTACCTACATGTCAAAATCAGAAATTTCTATTCAAAATGACAGAAATCTAAACTAATTTATTCCTTACATTGACATTTTGCAATTTGTACATATAAAGTGAGTTATCGATACGAAACCGATATTATTGTGTGCGTGGAACAACATTTACTTTAAGGGTTCCACCCTATTTAATGCTGGATTTTTACTGACAGTTAGTCTGTATCTGCTTGTTTGTTGCTTATGACGAATATTTCATGCATGTTCAGGAGAGAGGAGAAAAGATATCAAAAGGACATTAAAAAAAGCCGAAAATAAACTGACAACTCCGAGGCAAAAAAAGACCAACAGACAAATAACAGTATACAAAACACAACATAGAAAACTAAAGACTGAGCAACACGAACTCCATCAGGTGCTCCGGAAGGGTAAGCTGGTCCTGCTCCACATGTCGCACTCGTCATGGTGCTACTGTAAGTACAAACACGATGAAAAGTCTAATTCGGTATGTCACATTCGGGGAAAGTAAGGATTGAATTAAGGTAACGACGATTGGAACATATCTATGAAACAGATATTACATAACGGTCAACCAAATGGTGATGGCGTCCGTACAATTTAAAAAGGGATGATTTTAACTGCACCACTTGGATATATTGGTTAAAAAGCTCCTTTGTGAGTAACAACCCTCTATCAAGACGACAACAAATTAACAATAAGTACAATAGTTAGGTCCTTTAATAGAGGCATTCCGGAATGAAACTCGGGAAGAACTACTAGTACCAATGGAAAATGGGGGTATATTGAATAGGGATATACATTTTGCCTGACAACAGGCCACATACAGAACCCTCATAAAAGAGTTGTTGAAAGGGTTATTAACGTGCAGAGAATGTGGTGCTGGTTAGATGATAACAGGTTATTTAAAAAAACCAAAATTCAGAAATAAGCAAAGATGTCATGCAGTAATGACAAACTATTGCGAGAGAAATGATTTCTTTACGTAGTAATAAAAATAGTTAATAGATCAAATCTTTCTCTTAAAATGAAAAAAAACAAGTTTTGTTACGTTTATTAAACTGTAAAAAGTAAAATAACAAAAATACCGAACTCCAAGGAAAATTCTAAACTAAAAGTCCCTAAGCAAATGGCAAAATCAAAAGCTCAAACACATCAAACGAATGGATAAAAACTGTAATATTTCTGACTTGGTACAGGCATTTTCTTATGTAGTGTTTTATAGCTAGCTAAACCTCTCATTTGTATGACAGTCGCATTGCTTAAGTAATTTATAAAAACATTGATTTCATCAAATTAAACAATTTCCCTTTGATAAAGACCAAAACAATGTTTGCTTTACCCTACTAACTGTCCTAACTTTATTACTTATTGAGAAACTATACACAACCTGGTGATAGCACGTGACACATCCGTAAATAGCACGAACAATCTTCTTCTGACGGGACACAAAAACATGGATTTCGAGGTTTAACGATGAAATCGTATCCTCTCGTGTAGTCACATCTGCAGTTGGCATCTGTGCTTCGATTTCCATTATCAAAGACAACTTGTCCTTCTTCATGGCATGCTGACTTCTGAAATATGCAGTTGGTACTGACATTTGTGAAGAATTTTATTGGCCATGGCTCGTAGCGTTGTGACGAACAAATGTCTGCATCTAATCCTCCACGAAGAACATTTTTTCGACCTGTAGTGAAAACCTTATAACATGAGGGAAATCTATACAGTTTAAAGTACATAACTTTATGCACAATAACAAACATTCAACGTTTTGATGTAAGTAGTTGTGCTTGTGATTACGTAATAATATCAGAATCTTTTAATAGAACTTTAAATCCGGAAATAAAACAATACCTCCGCCATACTTACTCGTTGGAAAAGTTACAATTTGACAGTTTTCAATATAAACAAACCACAATTGTTTGTTTTTGCCATAATTATAAGTAACTTTTGCTCTGAATTATGAATTTGGAGGAAGGCGTCTTTACCGAACACCTGAAATGTATTCTCCTTCTTAATAAGGGAAAACTCACGTTCAAGTTCATCTAAAATAAATTGTCTTTAAGAATCACGATGACACATACTTTTAATGTCGGATCATATAACTATAGCATATCTTTTGAAATAAACCAAATTTGATATTTCATTGCTTTTACTTCCATTTCTAGAAAATCTTAAATGTGTTAGAAAATTTTAAATAAAAAGCAAACATGTTTTTTTTCTTCTCGAAAAGAAGCGCGGTAACCTATGTTTTATTTAAATCTTTTTCGAAGAATTTACCCTGATCGACAACAAATCTCAAATTCATAAACATTCCAATATAATTTGAAATTTATGTATCGAATCCTCTAAATGTACCCGTTGTCAGTTGTAAAAAATCATTATTTTACATACAGATATTAATTGAATAATCAGAAAAGTATAATTTGAAACTATATATGTGATCAGAGGTTTGTATTTGTACTACTGAAATTGATTTGATATTTAGACACAAAAAATGTTTGACGAACTTTAGACAGACGAAACTGAAGGATTTGTTTTAAAATTAAAATGTGTGTAAAAATTTTCATCAAATTGATAAATCGATATATGGATATCTCCATCACAATTTCATGCTAGGTAAAATACATGTCTGTGCAAGCAATTTAATTTACCTGGCTGTAGAAAATCGAATATTGTGCAGTTTTCAGAATATCCATTTATAAGATCATTCTTTAGGCAGAAATACTTAGACGGATCCGGACAATGACTTCTGGCACGGATTGACCACTGCGCTGGTTCGGGACATTTTAACGGGAAAGCCGCACAAAAATGAACCTGAAATATATAAATGAGTCATACTAATTGTCAGACAATTGATTGGCTTAGTGTTATGAAATTTATGAATCAATCCCTTTTTTCAATGTTCGACTCCTTAAAATTTTTAATATTTTATTTCGTGTGCAGCAGCTAATTTTTCGATATGCACATACATATGATGCATTAAGTTATGGTTTGAAATCATGATAAAAAAGACAATATGATGAAGACATAATCTTTCAATCAGTTTAATTGAGGTTTGGAGCTGGCATGTCAGTAACTGCTAGTAGTCCTTTGTTAATTTATGTATCATTGTCATTTTGCTTAGTTTCTTTTGTTACCTATTCTGACATCGGACTCGGACTTCTTTTAAACTGAGTTTTACTGTGCGTATCGCTGTGTGTTTCTTTATTCTACATTGGCTAGAGGTATAGGAGGAGGGTTGAGATCTCACAAAGCATGTTTAACCCCGCCGCATTTTTGCGCCTGTCCCAAGTCAGGAGCCTCTGGCCTTTGTTAGTCTTGTATGTTTTTTAATTTTAGTTCATTTATATGTTTTGGAGTTTAGTGTGACGTTGATTTTTGCTGGGCTGGTGAACATTTTTATTTGGGTGCCAGCTGAGGACCACTTCCGGGTGCGGGATTTTCTCGCTGCGTTGAAGACCAATTGGTGGCCTTCGGCTGCTGTCTGCTCTTTAATCGGGTTGTTGTCTCTTTGACATTTTCCCCATTTCCATTCTCAATTTTAATAATTTGGTTATTGTGTATTGGAAATTAGCAATAAGTATAATCCAGTATTCTCAGGTATAGTTATTCGAAGAGACTAATTCTAATGTGCATGACGTGTTTCTGAAATACATGTGACATTTGTAATACGAGCTGTATAATAAACCGAATATATATCAAATTAGACATAACTTCGTGATTTTGAAAATTAAGACAGAAACTGTAAAGTAAAGTCTACTTGTTTGATACTATATTGATCAATATCATTCATCATCACATAATCATATGTCTCATGACAGTGTGTTTACCTGTAAATTCGATCCCTCAAAGATTATTAAAGAAAAAGAAACCAAGAGATATGCGTCTCCTACTTCTACGCAAAGCACGCTGCATTTAGGTGTGAGTACAACCACAGTTCTGTCCAGGTCAGACCTATGTGTCCAGATTCTATCTCTCAACTGTAACCCTGTGGCATATCACATTGAACTCTTGTTCAGCGTGTATGTCTAGAACATAGCAAGGTTCAAAGTTCTATAACATTATACCTTATGGACGTAAACACCAATCAATCAACCAATCTATATATCTATACTGTCCACAGTAGTGGCACCTGTGAATGTTACAAATATCAGTTTCAGCGTAGCCGCTTTGTAAATGCATATAGGAGAGAAAAGGAGGAAATTTTGTACAGGACAACAATAAAACATATTTCTACAATCATTTTAGGTGTAATTCAACCAAATTAAAATACGTCACATCCGGTTGCACATGAAAAAGGGTAGAAAAAAATATTCCCTTGAATTTGACAGGTGTAGGAAATTAATCCTACATTTCATTGCAGTAAAAAGTTTCTGTGTCATAGACATATATCTTGGGTGTTTCAAAGCACCATTATTTCTATATAAGGTGTTTCTATGGAATACATGGTTACTAAAGCATGTACACAGGAAGAAAAAGGGTGATAATTTGATTGGTTAACTTCCAGTGACTGGACAGGATAAAACTTTACTTTAAAGTATTTCTTTATTTGAAACAAAGATAAATTCTGCACAATTTTTTGAAAAGTGCAAATTTAACAAAGACTAATAGGGGAAAATTAATGATGGTATTACACCTATTAGGATGTGAATTAATAAAATGTAAGTTACCTTTCTCTCTCTCTCTCTCACAGACACACACACACTTACCAGGATCAGGAATCTGAACAACATAACTTTGTTCAACTCTTGTTCTTCTTTGAAAATCTACACCTTTCTTGTTTTTTTTTTGAAAAACTACACCTACAAAACATTTCAATTTAAATATATAATTCTTTACAAAAATTTGGAAAATAAATGTTTTGCACATCGCATAAAACGTTTTCCTATGAAAAAGTGATCCTTTTTTTGTTTCTCAAATCACTAAAAAAATCTACATTCAGTTTCTACTAAGGGTGACTACAAGCTATTCAACGATTGTATTATATTACTGGAATGACAAAGACCTGTTAGATATAGTTACACTAAATTATGGTCAAGGCCTCAGACAACGCATGCACCAGTGAAAGAGCTTCCAAGTTTTTGTAGATTCCAATGTTCCCATTCTTAAAGTGTTAAGAAGGAGAACATTAAAAATATATATACATAAATCAATGTAGCAAACGCTATGTAATTTCTATATAAGGAATACAAATCATATTCGAAGCAAACCAAGAAATAATAACGTATGTTAAATACACCTTAAGAGAGGTGAGGGTCTAAAGTTAATTAATTTGCCAAAATGTAAAAATAAAATTGAGAATGGAAATGGGGAATGTGTCAAAGAGACAACAACCCGACCATAGAACAGACAACAGCAGAAGGTCACCAACAGGTCTTCAATGCAGCGAGAAATTCCCGCACCCGGAGGCGTCCTTCAGCTGGCCCCTAAACAAATATATGTACTAGTTCAGTGATAATGAACGCCATACTAAACTCCAAATTGTACACAAGAAACTAAAATTAAAAATAATACAAGACTGACAAAGGCTAGAGGCTCCTGACTTGGGACAGGCGCAAAAATGCGGCGGGGTTAAACATGTTTATGAGATCTCAACCCTCCCCCTATACCTCTAGCCAATGTAGAAAAGTAAACGCATAACAATACGCACATTAAAATTCAGTTCAAGAGAAGTCCGAGTCTGATGTCAGAAGATGTAACCAAAGAAAATAAACAAAATGACAATAATACATAAATAACAAAGGACTACTAGCAGTTAACTGACATGCCAGCTCCAGACTTCAATTAAACTGATTGAAAGATTATGTCTTCATCATATGAATATCAGGCACAATCCTTCCCGTTAGGGGTTTAGTATCATACCATCATAACATATATGAGAAGAACATAACCCGTGTAATTTCAACAACTGGTTTTTAAATAAATGTGTTTAGTGCCGATAAAAGACCCTATAAGTGAATCAATATTAACGCCAAAATATGCTATCTTTAATGACCTGACAACAGTATCGTAACCATATCTCTTCTATTTAAAAGTCTATTTAAAGGTTTTGTTAGCTTCAGAGGTGAATACTGACATTTTTGTGCTTTATAAAGAATATTTCCATAAAAAATTGGATGTGAAATACCTGAACGTATAAGAAGTCTGCATGTTGAGCTATATTTACGAATGATGTCCTTATACCGATGATAAAATTTAGTAAAAGTTTTGACTAGTTTGTGATATCGAAAACCCTGGTGTAATAATTTTTCAGTAATACATAAATTTCTCTCGTTAAAATCTAAAACATTGTTACATACACGAGCGAATCGTACAAGTTGAGATATATAAACACCGTAAGATGGTGACAAGGGAACGTCACCATCTGAAAATGGATAATTAACGATAGGAAATGAAAAATCATATCTTTTATCATATATTTTAGTATAAAGCTTTCCGTTAATGATATAGATATCAAGATCGAGCAAAGGGCAGTGGTCATTGTTAGTATTAGCTTTATTTAAAGTAAGTTCAACAGGATAAATTTCTTCAGTATACATACTGAAGTCGTCATTATTTAGAGCCAAAATATCATCCAAATATGTAAAAGTATTATTAAATTTGTGTATCAGATGTTGTTTCGAGGGGTCTTTGCTGATTTTTGTCATAAATTGTAACTCATAGCAATACAAAAAAAGGTCCGCAATAAGTGGTGCACAGTTAGTCCCCATTGGAATTCCGATAACCTGACGATATACGGAATCTCCAAAGCGAACAAAAATGTTATCTAGTAAATTTCAAGGTCATATATAGTATCAAAGCATGTCCAATTGACATCGTTTTTTTGTTTATTGCTACTAAAAAATGACCTACAAGAGTTTGAACATATATATTCACATTCTGACTTTTTAAATGCCCATTTAATTAGGTGTGTGAACTTTTTTTCATAAATAGGATAAAATAATGGGTCAGTGTTATTTTTAAAACCTACAGGTTATGAAAAATTGCCAAGTTTTTTTTATAGATATTACATGGAAAACCCGATTTTATGTGATGGAAAGAAAAATAAACGAAAAAACTTTGAAATAAAATATAGCTCTTATAATATTGTTGACGGAAGACACCAGATATACATTTAAGCAACATGTTCTCACGGGACTTGATACTTCTTAACTGGTAACACGGAAATTTAAAAAAGAAAGACCATAACAACTGACAAAAATTGAATTCGAATTTACGTTATTTACAAATGGAAAACATCTGTCACATTCTTTAATTGGTACAGGCATTTTCCAAAGTAAATGGTCCATACACAGGGTTTATGCAAGCTTAATCTCCCTCCAGTATGACCGATGTTTATTGTTCAATAATTACCCATGATGTCATGAAATCTATGAATTGACAGTAAATTTAGAGAAATTGTGTACACTACTGACTTGTACATGCTGAGAAATATTAAACTAGTATAGCACAGCTATCGCCCAAATTATATATAAACAGTAAGAATAGTATGTGTATATTTATTCACTGGCATAATAATATTTAGTAGACCTTGTTAATTTAGCTTAAATGTTTATACAATTAACTTTGTTCGGCTAAAATGTTTTACAATCTGGCGTCCAAGGCTTGACTTTTATTCAAATATTTTTAAAATCCTTTATTCTGAATTAATGACATCAGGCAATGTTTGACTTTGAGTTAAAATTTACCGTGCCAAAACGGCTCCAAAAAGAGCATTGCATTTAAATACGTAAAAATGCATTATACTAAAATATAAGTACAGCAGTTACCTTGTGATTAATTATTCTCTAAAGAAAACAAATTTAAAGGTGTACAGAAATATATAGCTTTTTCATTTTGTTTAATTGTAATTGTTATTAATAAAATCACAACTGAATAATGTTTGTTATATTGTTTCTTTAAGGTTTCATAGCTTAAACATCAGCATAATCAAACGCTTACAAAGATGTTTTAAAACAATGAATAATGGATAATTTTTATATGTCCCGATCATCATGTCAAGATAGTTTGTTTGTGTTTATTTTTGGCATGCTTTACTTTAATGTTATTACCGAATCGAATATGTAAAGCATTTGTACACTAATCCTATCTTTTTAACCAATTTTAAAAAGCAAACACTGAAGTTTTTATTTACATAATTAAATTATTTTGACATTCGTGATAATCCTTGCAATATTAAAGACTCTGGGACTAACATAATGGCCTAGAACTGATACTGCAAATGGAAAGGAATTAACCTGCAAATGTACTTTTTATTTGTTTAGAAAAAAAAATACTCGAAACGAGAAGACGAGCGGTCATTTGTTTTATCAATAACAACGGCAGTAAGCGATTTAAAGAAGACAGAATCTGACGTCATTTAGACATAAATTTACAGGGAAACATAATAGAGACAGGTTTTATTAAAGCCTATTTAACTGCACCAGATTTTGTGTAACAGTAATTGTGTAAAATTTTTACAATATCAAATAATGTTGTTTCAAACTAGAAATGTATCAGCCATATGTTTCCATTGACATAATCATACAAAAATGGATAATATATCATTTTTATATTGCGACAAACGCCAATAGAAAAAAAAAACACTACTGAACCATTGAAATAGATTGTGTTTAAATATCTGCATATATGATTTTTCATCATGTTGTTAACGCTTGTATATGCAATTATCTAGGGTACTATTCGTTACGTTCTGCATAACAATGATAAATGAAAGAAGTCCAAACGGAACGACCCATGCACGTCGACACGGAAAGCTTGCATCGTAAGCCATAACAAAAAAGCTAAGGTAAATCTTTTTCAGTTGATTCATCGATTGTTTTTTGCTTAATATTCAGCAGCATTTGTTCCATGCATATTTTGGACGAATATGGCGACGCTAATGCATAAGATAGTTTCTGTAGTTAGTCTAACAGGATAAAAGACCGAAAATATATAAATTTATAAATTCATCCCAACAAGAATCACATTTAAACAAAAAAATATCGTCAAAATGCTACACAAATATATTTTAATTAGCTATCCTTTTTTAAGGTAGATCGGATGTCTTCCGTCATCTTGGGTTGTACAATAGAAGCAAACAACCAATCTAGATCATTAATGAGATGTGCAAATTTTAAGAGAAGTATGGAATTCATTTGTAAGATTAATCTATCTTAATGAAGTAAATAATGTGATTTATCATATTTTGACGACTGTTTTTTTTTTTACAAATAACAAAGAATACTTAATTACAGTGTCTTATATCTCGATCATTTGTAAATCAATTTGATTGGATGAGTGTGACTCTTTTGTTTAATTAAAGTTTGTTATAATAGAAACTGATGCTTGGTAAATAAGTTTTGTTCTTAAAACAAAGATCGTTCTTTGTGATTGGCATTTACATTCAGAGGTCGGTTGGAAAGCCATTGAATCAGTGTAATAGGATGTAATTTATATTTCATATTTTTTTACACTCTTCCTCTGGCTCAATCGAGAAAAAAAACTTCATCTTCTCATCAAAGAGTGATTACCACGTCCTTTGGTATCTGGTCAATGGTTGTCTCATTGACAATGATAGCGCAAACATGTACACTTATTTTTATATTATCTGTGTTCTTTGTTGCACGAAAGATATGATCAGAAATCTAATTGTTTTATTGGTGAAATGAATACTACCTGTATAATTATGAAAAACATCGTTAAAACCATATTGGTTGTAAAAGTCTTATATATTAACAAAAACATTAAATTGTATTGAGCTGCTCAACTGTATTATTAATGTTATATTAAAATGAAAGATATTCCGAAAAACGTAACAACAAGACGCAAGCATTGTCCTATGTGTTAATAGATAGTAGACAACTACCAGAACTCCGTATTTATTTCGCGTTAAGGCAAACATACTGGACCATTTTTTTTTTGATGAAATTGTGTATTCATTTAAAAATCATTGAACTACATCTTTACAAACATGATACTACTATTTTTGTTTTTTTACATGTACTTTTTAGCGTTTGTTTGTCTTCTTTTTGATAATTGCATATAACTATACACGTTGGTACCTTCATGTTTCGTTTGCATTGTAACATTGTATATTGTCATTCGATAGACATTTTCATTAAAAAAAACTTGGGAGA